GTTGAGGGCGTGTGGTTCTGGATATGGCAATGAGTGTGCAAAATGTTACGCAATTGCATCCTCCCTATTAGCACATGCCCGAAGATCGGAGGCAAATGCCACTTCGACTTGTTTCGTCTACTAACGACTCTCTGATGACTGTGTTGAGGAAGCAGCATATGCATGTACGTAATTGGTGGATTTGTTAGTTATTTCGACGATTTTGGATAATGCTTGACATTTACCACTTTTTCAATAGTTTCTTGTTAAAAATCAACAGTCGAAAGCAATGATGCGTAGACATATTTCTGATCGATTGGTGATACAATTATTGAAATTAGTCCAGGGGCAGCTGAGTTATTAACGTGCAAAATCTTTCATTATTTCGTTACATGCTCCATTTTCAGTTTTTACAAAGTGCACCCCCATATAAAAATCACAGTTGATAGAATTTACCACTTTTTTCCGGAAACCACCATCATGGATTTAAAAATGGCGTCGGATATATATTTTCATTCCCTAGACGTCATACCGAATCCAAAAACAGCCATATTGATGGGTATTTGACAAGATTTTACTTTTTCTTAAACTGGAAGCCACTATCTTGGATTTAACAATGGCGTCGCATATATATATTTACAATCTCTAGTCACCCCGATTCCAAAAATACCCATATTGATGGGTATTTTACAGTATTTCGCCCTTTCTCTGAAATCAGAAGCCGTCATTTTTGATTTCGAAATAGAGTCGTTGATCAATTTCCGGGTTCTAGACACCATCCCTCTCTTTGCTCAGTCGTTAAAGGCGCAGCTACAAAGCAAGACCATGCTGGAGGTGGCTGGGTTCAATTCCCGGTCTGGTCTAGGAATTTTTCGGGTTGGAAAATTTCTCGACTTCTCTGGGCATAGAAGTATGATTGGACTTGCCACACAATTATACCAATGCAAAAATGTTATAGGCATCGAAAGCTCTCAATTAATAACTGTGGAAGTGCATCTAGAACACTAAGTTGAGAGCACGCTATATTCGATATGCAATAAGCTTGAAATTCGAAGAAGAAGAAGAAGACGTCATCCCGATTCCAAAAATGCCAATATTGATGTGTATTTGACAGAAATTCCCACTTTTTTTGAAATCGTAAGCTACCATCTTGGATTTAAAAATGGAGTTGGTTATCGATTTTCATTCTCTAGCATCATCCCAATTCTAAAAATACCTATATTGATGGTTATTTAACAATGTTTCCCATTTTTTTCTTAAAATGGAAGCCGCCATCATGGATTTTAAAATGGCATCGCATATCCATTTTCGATCTCTAGACTTCACTCCGATTCCAAAAATACCCATATTGATGGGTCGGCATCAGTATTTCCCACTTTTTCTGAAGTCGGAAGCCACCATCTTGGATTTCAAAATGTCGGCGGCTACCGATTTTCGGCCTCTAGTCATAACCCCGATTAAAAAATACCCATATTGATGGGTATTTGACAGTACTTCCCACTTTTTCTAAAATCGTAAGCTGCCATCTTGGATTTCAAAAAGGCTTCGGTCATTAATTTTCAGCCTCTAGACGTCATCCGGATTAAAAAAATACCTAAATTAATTGGTATTTGACAATATTTCCCCTTTTTTTAACTGGAAGCCGCCATTTTGGATTTTAATGGTGTCGCATATCGTTTTTCGATCTTTAAATGTCACCCCGATTCCCAAAATACCCATATTGATGGGTCAGCGTCAGTATTTCCCACTTATTCTGAAATCGGATGCTGCCATCTTGGATTACAAAATGGCCTCTAGCGTCCTCCCGATTCTAAAAATACCCATATTGATGGGTAAATAAACCAACCGACAATGATAAATTTGACAGACCTATGCGCATGCGCTTAATTGAATCGAGTGAACAATCAACAAAAGTCAGAAAACCTGTGCGAAATTGGGTCGAACAGTTTCGCTTCAAATCCGAAAGTAAGTTCATTTGACAATGAAAGACAAATTGAACACGAGTCAAGCCAAAACAAACAGCATGAATACTGATCGAAAGTTGTTCTGTCGATGTTGAGGGGTATCTGCTCGAAGAGAAGACAAAATGACTTTCAATTGAAAGTGATGGTTGACAGCTTCGTCGTCGCTTGACGATTTTCGATTGAAAATGACTATGTTGGAATCTGGTTGAAAACTAGGTTGGGTTGATGCTCCATTGTATGTATGTATTGTATGTTAAGTGATTGCAAGATAAAATTGACAGTTCGTCAATCGGTTGAACTAAAATTCAATCGTTTTGATCTATGGTGGGCAGAGTCTAAGTCTGCCAACTTGGTTGCAGTGTGTATTGGGAAGTCGCAACAACACCGCGTGTATTTTAAATGGATTACATCTTGACGTACAAGTCGAATAGCAGATTCGATTGTGTGTGGCGCAGTTGCAAAATGTTTGCTCGGTTGACGAATAGGTTGACAACCAGGTTGCAGTGTGTATCGGGTTTGTGCGACTTTCCTATACACACTGCAATCAGATTGGCAGACTTAGACTCCGCCCACCTTACATTTTTTCTCCAACTGTTTGATCAACCGTCAGTTTTGTCTTGCAAGCACTCCACACACGATACAATCGAGCATCATATCAACCTGGTCACCAACCAGGTTGCAGTGTATGTGGGGCACATTATGCAGCCTATATACACCGCAACCTGCTTGTAAACGTGGTTCTTCGACTGGTTGTCGGATTTCCGTTCAACCAATTCGCCAACCGAACAAAACATTGGCAACTGCGCCTTACACAATCCAATCTGCTTTTCGATTTGTACATCAACCTGTTGGCCAACCCATTTAAAATACACGCGATGTTTGAGCGACTGCAACTGCAACTAGGTTGGCAGACTTAGAATCCGCCCACCTAAAATCAAAACGCTTTGATTTTACTTCAACCTTAGACCAACTGTAAATTTTGTCTTGCCAACCACACGATACAAACGAGCATCAACACAACCTGGTTGTCAACTAGATTGCAGTGTGTAGGGGCGTATGGGGCCCGTTAGAGCTTTGAAAATGTGCGGTCGTTTGATGGTGGTACTGTTTCTTTGCACACCACCTCTCCTAATCGTTTCTTTGAAAGCAATGTTGAATAGGGGAAAAGGCTCTAATGTTGGCCTATGGATCTAAGATTTATCAATTTTATCTAGATGAACGCGTCATTGGGACGATACTAATTGATATTTTTGGTTGCTATTGAAAATTTAGTCGATTGCTGAATGTATGCATGGGCCCAAATTAGGGGAATCTAGGCCGACATTACATCCATTTCCCCTATGCTAGGGTATAGATGAGTAAACTGCAGCTAACCAGTTTGTTCGAGATGATAACTGAAACCGCTGCATGGCATCATTAAATTTACTTCGCTTGACTTATCGCCAGAATTCAGCCCTGTCCCTGCAAGTATCCAACCGGAGGAATCTTACGAAGCAGCAACACTGCACTGTACACGTAAACAATGTGCGTTACGTTAAGTGCAGCAATGCAATTGAATGAAAAATATAACCATACTAACAATCGTAGAAGTATCTGGCTACATGCAATTCGCGATGCGTGATTGAAGCTATATATGCCGTGAGTATACTTATTTAATGAGCAAAGCAATACCGCTTTTGCAGTAAGTGATTTACTAAGCCCGGGGGGTTTTAAGAAGCTCAGTTCATTACGGACGCAGCGCAATTTAGTAAAATAACAATTGTAACAGTTTCATGCAATTTCATGTTTTATATTGTTATTGACTTCTTCTGCGTTTCGTTGTCAGTGACCGCTTGACCTGACATGCACGAATGCACACTGTACCGTTCATTGGTCGAAGATTGCAATTCTCTGAGTCTAGATTTCACACATTAGGTAATAAGCAGATGATATGCCTTTGATAAGTCGAAGTTTCGATTGGAGTTACTTCGATGGAAGTGTTAAACTCGTTAAGGTACAGAGTTTCGAAATTGATCTAACATTGTTGCAATGAAACTGAGCAAACAGAAGACACTAAAAATACTCCACGCCAATTTGAGCAAGTCCTAATTTTTCAAGCTTTCACTCCGTAACCGCACCATAATCAACACCAGCTGACGCTGATGATGGCGACGACGACGACGAGGGTGATGGGTAGTGAGCCTTATCGAGCGTGGAAAATCCATAAATGTCGCTATCTTTCGTGCTGGTCGACACCGCACAACCACCCCCTCGAGTAAGCGGTTGGTAGGATCCGTAATCGTATGAGCATTGATTCGGGTAGACAACGCGGGCCACTGACGGAGACATTAAGTGATTCAGAGGCGTGTGGAGGCGAAATGAATTGATGGGATGAAGTTATCCCAAACTACATGTACATAGAAACCTAGCAACCGGTGTACGCCGCTGTTGTGGTGAAACAACAAAGCAATAGCGTTGGATAAAAAGGTATTACCGCTTCATTTGCGCACAAAATGATAAAAGCCTAATGAGGAAGAGGCAGGGTGTAATGCTGCAGATGATCCAAATCGCACATTAGCGACTTTGTTAATGTGCGGCTTTTGTGCATGGAATCTCTTGGGCGGCATGCGTTGGAAAGCGTTAAAAATAGCACCTGCTCGGAACACAATTGGGAGCAAATTATGAGCGGAAATTGATGATAATTGGAACTCTCAATTTGTGTGATGACTCTCCATGTAGAAATCCAACAGATTTTGATTTGTAATCTAAGCTTGGCGCAGCAGCTTTTGTTTTGTTTTTTGACGAGCAATAGATCGTCATTCTGTCCTGATAAGATGGCTAATAGCTAATTCATGGAATCCAAATGTAATCATTCGCTCTTACGGGTGATACTGTGACTCCAGGCCAACTCACATTGCCGCTAGCAGCACATGTTTGCACACCAATACCGCTGGATGTTTGACTGATAACGATGTTATCACCATCTATTCGTATAGTTCACACAGGCAGTAATCTCTAATTTAATACTTATTGTAGTGATAACTAATTGGCACTTTTGCTCTTCCGTTCTATTTTTAGGCTGATGATAAATCGTTGCTAGCGAGATTCTACCATGCAGACAGGGCTCTGACGGCGGTGGCCAGCGAACTGGATAGCTTCGATGGCCGTGCAGAACCAGTGCGATGCACTCGACTGGTTGGACGGTTACGACAAGGACAGGTGAGCGTAGTTTTACATTCTCGAACGCGTGCAAAATCATTTGTAGCATTAGACATAGGGTAACTGTCGGCTTCGGCACACATTGGAAGTTTTCGGCAACCTAAATTTAAGCTGTGTTTTCCCATCAAAACACTTCGTTGAATGACGGATTCCTTAGTCTTTCAGCTTTAGTTAAGTGATTTCAGTTTTATGACTGATCAATCCCGTTATGCCATTTTTTTTTCTTTATATGAAATATGTACACTAAAAACTGCAAATGATTTCTAGTTGCCGATAATAGAACAGGTGGTTAACACATCGAATACAGTGGATAAAATATTATTACAAAGCCTCCGAAAAACATGTAACAGCAAGTTTGCAATGATATAACTTAGCCATTTCTTGATGATTTTCAAAAATTGTGGTACCTCTAGAATTCCTAGGTTCTGTAGATTATTTTGATTGTAGAAAGATTGAAAATAGGGTCGTCTACTTTTTTCTAAAGCGAAAAGAGTCGTTACACGTTTTTTTTAAAGGTGTGTTTATGGGTTTTGCAAGTGGTTTAAGATTCAAAATTAGATTAATGGGCACAAATGTTCATAATTAGCCAGAATACAGTCATGGTTCCTATATATGGAACCTGGAGATAACGGAACGGTCCTCGAAAGATCCGGAACATCCGTAAAAGTGGTCTATCCATAAACCCCTGATCCTAGAACTCCGCGGTTTCTTTTTCTAAAACATTAGGAACTGTGATATAAGAAAGAATTTGGGTTCATGACATAAACATGGACCTAGATGGCCATCGGACCGTCCTCCGGAAGATCTGGATAAGGAAATTGCTGAAACCAAAAAAATTTCCGGAAACTTCGGCTTGCTCTGAAAAAATTTCTGGAACGAAATAAAAATTATACGAACAAAGGTGTTATATCATGGAAATTTTAAGATCTAAACAATTTCGAAAATTTAGCTTAGTTGATTAGAGAACATCAACAAAATTCCATTAATTAAAAAGAATTCGAAAACTTTTAGCAAGCACCGATATTTTCAACAAATTCCAGAGAACTTCTAAGAAATTTATATATTTTTAGATTGTTTCATTATATAGTGAAGTTCCGATTATAGACTGTTCCAGAATGTATAAGCACACCTTATTTTAAGGGTCACTTTGAATTTAATGAAATATTTCAACATGTTTTGGCTGCGTCCTTTTGTTTGCTCATTTCTGAATGACATAGCATCAAAAAAGTGCTCAGTTTTGTGTTTCCTGTCAAAATGCGTGGTCTTACTCCGGAACAACGAAAAAGTATCGTGCACAAATGGTGCACTGTGAGCGGACTCTCCTTGAGAAAATTGGCCAAGGAAGAGGGTGTAAGCGTCGGAGCGGTACGAACTGCGATTAAAAATATAGAGAACAGTGTACGTTTGAAGATGCGCCGAAGAGTGGCCGGAAATCCGATCCTGTAAGTCCGGATATCGATAAAAAGATCAGGGATGCCTACAAACGAAAACCAGCGACTTCCGTTCGGGATGTTGCGAAAAAAAAACTAGGGACCTCGTCGAGTACCGTCATGCGTGCCAAAGAAAAACTTGGCCTAAAAACATACCGGAAGTAGAAAAAACCCAAAAGGAACCCAAAACAGGCCGCTTCCGTGAAACCACGGGCCCGCAAACTCTACGATTCGTTATTGTGTCGAAATTCTGGGTGTATAATAATGGACGACGAAACGTACGTGAAACTAGATTACAAAACGCTTCCCGGACCACAATTCTATACTGTAAGCGAAGGCAAGGACATCCCCGAAACGGAGAAGGCAATTTTTACCGAAAAATTCGGTAAGAAGGTTATGGTTTGGCAGGCAATATGCGAGTGTGGTAAAACATCTAGTCCATACATCACAACGGAGACGATGAACACTCAGAAATACGTTAAGGAATGTCTCCAGAAGCGATTGTTGCCGATGATCAGGCAGCACGAAGGTCAAGTAGTATTTTGGCCTGATTTGGCGTCATGTCATTACGCAAAGGACACTTTAGAATGGTACAAAAGTCAAAATTTATGTTTCGCGCCGAAAGACATGAATCCGCCGAACTGCCCGGAGGCACGGCCAATCGAGACTTTTTGGGCTTTAACCAAAGCAAAGCTTCGAAAATTAATAAAACCAGCGGACGACATCCTAAAATTCATAAAAGATTGGCCAAAAGTGGTCGAAATGGTGGGAAGTACCACTGTGCAGAAGCTAATGGGTCATGTTCGAGGAAAAGTTAGGAGTCTTGGCTATGATTAAATATGTTGATTAAACGAGAGTAAAATATCATTTGAAATACAAATACAAATATGATTTGCCAAATAAAATTATTAAAACTTAAAAAAACATGATTTTTTTGTTATTTTGAAAGTGTGCTTATACTTTCTGGAACAGTCTATACTTTGAGGACGATCAGATAACATCAGAAAAATCCCATTAACTTGAACATTTGCAGTGACTTACAAGGAGTTCCTTGGAATTATGGGATTGATCCGAAATTTAAGAAGATTCAGGGAAATATATCATAAAATATACCGGAACGTTTGATCAATTTACAGAAGCATAGAAGACTTCAGGGATGTCCAAGCTTTCCAGGAAAAATAAGTGATTTAAGGCAAAGTTCCGCGAGCGTTTATAAACTTTATAAAACTTAAGGAAAATTGTAGAATTTAAAGGCAATTCAAATAATTCCAATAAAATTGTGAGTTCTTTTAAAAAAATACTTAGATATTCAAGGCAGCCTAGAGAATTTCAAGCAAATTGAAAAATACGTTGGGCAGTTTTAAACACATCATCAAACTCTAGACTATTGCATTAGTTTCGATAATTTAAACTTCAGACAAATCTTGAGAACTTCAGTGAAAATCATAGGACCATATTAATTATTTCGTTGCGGGAGCTTAAAAAAGTTCTTGGAATCTCAGAATAACTTCGAAAACTTCACAGAAGTACAGAGATCTTCAGCAACATTTCGAGAACTTCATAAAAGTCTATGGAACTTAAGGGAAGATCCCTTCAGAATTTTTTATGGACATTTCGGGAGCATTTTAAATAAGTTTAGCTAAGCTCCAAAACAAGGGAAATTTCGGAGGAGGTCAGTCCCTAGATTATTGAAAAATTTCAAGAAGTTACCAGATTTTCAGAGAACTTTTAAAGATATTTAAAGAAAATTGAGGTTTTCACATAAGTCCAGAAGTTCACGGAAGCCTAAACATTATTGAAACAGTTTAATTAAATTCAGGGCAGTACAACAAGCTTCATGAGAACTTTAGTTAGAGAGTTTCGAGAACTTCCAGAAATATATTGATCTTACTAATAAAGCTCTTAAGGGGAAGATTACCGCCCCGAAAATAAAAAAAATATTTTCGACACGTTTTTATTTCTCTAAAAAACATTGGAAAAAATTATCAAAAATCCAACAAAATCAGTTTCTTCCTCAGATTCTTGACAAAATTTACATGTAAGAATAGTTTTTCTATCTCATCATGAAAAAATATTGGACTCTCAGAAAAACCGAAAAGTTGATGCTTTGTCGTTTTTTGAGTCCAAGTTTATGCCATGATAAATTACAAAAAATATTTTTGCACGTGAATTGTCTTTAAAAAATTCATAAAAATGTGATTTTTTTTAGAAATTTGATATCTTTTCCCAATAATTTTAGATTTTTTTTTTTCGGAGCGGTATGCTTCCCCTTAAAAAACAGATATCCTCAGAGCAAAGGTAATCCAGAGCAGGGAAAGTACATAAATTTTAAAAAAGTTTCGAGAAATTAAGTGAATTGTTAAAACTTTAGAGAAGATTCATGATCGTTAGGAAAATTGTGGAAACTTTAGGAAGTCCGAAAAGTTTAGAGAAGTAAAAAAAAATATGAAAAGTATTGCGAGTATCACGCTAGTTTCTCAAATTACAAAAGAACTTCTTGGCAGTTTCATTAACTTTTGGGAACTTTCAAGTAGTTCTGACGACCTCAGAATAGTCCATTCCATATTCAACGGAGATTTCTCATGAAAATTCGCTTGGAGTTCTCCTCATCATTTGCTCGTATTCTCCCGAGGTCGAGACTCTCATGGAGTTATTTCAGAAATTCACTTGGAACGCTTCTCTGAATTCTCTAAAAAATATCAGTTAGAGTACTTCTCGCAATTCCATTGAAATATATCTCAAAATGTCGTTAGAATTATCCTCTGAAATCAATTTTCTTTTAATTTTCCTAGGAATTGCCTTGAAATTCTCCTCAGTGAGAAATCCTATGGAAAGATTCTCAGAATTTTCATTGAATTCATTTCAAATTTCCTTTTTCATCTCACTCCATCCCTTGGAATTCTACTCACATCGAAAGTCTCCTTAATTCATAGGAGACTTTCGATGTGAGTAGAATTCCAAGGGATGGAGTGAAATGAAAATGGAAATTTTAAATGAATTCAATGAAAATTCTGAGAATCTTCGCTATTCATTTTTATTCCTCCTCTCAAATTCCTTAGATTTCTCCCCTTAATTTGTTTGGTAATCTTTCCTGGAAAGTCAACCATGCTAGTAATCCATTTAGACGTATACCTTTATTCAAAGCTCAATAGGTATGTTCCCGTACTTACTTTTTTGATTTGCTGCAAGTTGCTTTTTGAAAATAATATGGAGCAGAAAGTACGGAAACATCCTTTTGTTTTTTGCTGTACAGAATCTTACAGAAAAGCAAGTACGGGAACAGACCTAATTACGAATCATCACGGCAGTGAAAAACTACAAGGGACAGTCCTATGGGCCAAAACATACTGTTTAACAAATGTATGGTTGTCCTGAAAAGGCCCGTTTTGTCGTGATAATTGAGTAATGCTGAGTTATTAGGGTGTTCAACACAGATGATGCTGGTGAGCTGTATGTTGTTTGGAATGAGGGTGACGCGCTTGCATAGATGGCCCACAGCGACTCACGAAGAGCTACTGATTCCGATCAATAGCGGTGCGGCTTCTTCCTCCTTCTATGGATGCTCATGTGGGCAGCCGCTCGCTGCTTGGAGAACAATGTTCAACGCCACGCGCTGAAAGCACTGCTGCTGATGCCAACGACCGGACACCACAACACTCGGTGATTGGAACTGAATTCGATCAGCGGTTGAGGGCAGCCTTGATAGCTAGCTGCTTGCGGAGAGCCTTCGTTGTGTACTGGAGAACACTACCACTCACCACGCGGTGATTGAATAAACCCCGTTTGGTGAGACCGGATGGAATTCAACTTTGAAATCTGTGTTAGCGAAATCACTTTTCGCAGGCAATCGGTGATAATTTAAATTATCATATCAAAGTGGCATTTTTGAAAATGATAAAGTCTTAATTTTAGCAGATGCGTAGAAATATTTCTGATCGATTGGTGTAAAAATTATTGAAATTGGTCCAGGGGCAGCTTAGTTGTTAACGTTCAAAATCTTTTATAATTTCTTTACATGTTCCATTTTCGGTTTTCACAAAGTGTACCACCATATAGGAACCACATACGTAGTCCTACGTAAAAAAATTATTAGGAGCTGTTCATAACTTAGAAGGTACTTAGAATATTTTTGAGAGATTTAAGGCCGTCGCTCCACCGTAGACCGTAGACAATCGTCCACACGCTATTAAATAAGTTGAACTTAACTTTTTGTTTTTTTTTTATTGTAGTGTATCGAACTCAATTAAGGGTGTTCTGAAAAGTTCAAATATTTTCCATGGAATATTTTGTAAAATTAGAATGGAAAATTAGAAATTAGAAATATTCTGGGAGCTACCATGATCAGTACCTACTTGAAAAGGATCCGATATCTGTGAATCCTAGATCATGCTGAAGTTCCCGATTCCAAGTGATTTCAATTCCACTCTTTGACAACTTTATTGAAGCTTCATGTAGCAATATGACACCCCCTGCAATAGATTATATTATTTATAAACTTATTACATTTTAAATGAACATCTAGCGGGTTCAAGTTTTACATGCTTACTAACCTAATTTCTTTCATTTAAGGACCGCGTGCTGGCCATCACCAATCAAATCATGGATGAGTTACTGGGCGACGATCGGGCGCCGCGTGCTTTCCGTGCCAAGTTCCCGGAGGAGGTTCTACAGGAAAGTCTCGCCGGTCAGTTGTGGTTCGGTGCCGAATGTCTCGCGGCTGGATCTTCTATCATGAACCGTGAAGTGGAAAGTGCCACGATGCGCCCGCTGGCGAAAGCTGTTACGAAAAGTTTGGACAACGTTCGGAACCTGCTGCGGGAGCAGTGCCTTCGGAATAACACACCAAACAGTTTAACACTGCGGCTGGATGTAAATGACGCCGCGACGGAACAGTTGTACGAAAGTTTGAAGATTTTCGATCGTTTGTTCGCGGAATTTGAGTTACTGTATGTGAGCGCTATGGTGCAGGTAAAATCAAAGCAGGAATACGAAATGCAGGAGTTGATTTGTGTGCTGTTTTCGGAGACACTTCAACGAGCGCTCAAGATTGGTCTACTAGAGCAGGAACAGGTAGATTCGTACGACCCGGCGTTGATGTTTTCTATTCCACGGTTAGCCATCGTCGCCGGGTTAGTTATATTCAAGGACGGACCGCTAAATATGGATCAACCAGCGGATAACATATCTGAAATGTTCAGACCATTCCGGAAACTGCTGATTAAAATGCGAGATCTCCTCAGAACGCTGACCAAGCACGAGCTATATCAGTTGGAGAAGCTGCTGTGCACTAATGAAGAGATCAGCCTGAAGGAAGAATTAATCTGTGATGCAAACGAGAATGATAACAGTGGTGTTTCGCCGCGGGAGGACGAAGTTGTTATCGTGACAACTAATGTTAATAGTAGTAATAATTGTAATAGCAGTGATAGTCGAATGTTGGAAGCTCCGAGCGATGACCGGCAACACGAGTCTGATGAGGGTGACATTCTAAACAGTAGCTTTTATAATAACCGTACTGTAGATAACAATCGAATGCACGATGGTGAGGATGAAGTATCTGAAAATGAAGACGAAGACGATCCTAGTAGTATCCTAAAAGATGGTCTAGTGACGTCGGATTGCGCATCGGGATATTTGATTCCAAATACAAACTTCGGTAACCTATTGCAGACAAATGAAGCGCCTCTGACCGACAGTTTTATTGCCACGGACGAAGAGCTGAAGCTGGGTGCTTCCTCGAATGCTCGGATAGAACAAATCCTGTCGGAGACAAATCAAAAGCTTACGGATTCGGGACTTGGTACGGCTAATCCAAGCGTGGATCACTCTCCGGAATTAGAAACGGAACGTCCGGTTACCAGTCGCAATGTATGTGATTCTTCAGAAGAGGAAGAAGGAGAAGTAGACGAATATGAGGACGATGATGAAGAAGAAGAGGATGATGAAGATAGTGAAGGTATTGCTTGTGATAACCATCGAACGAATCAACTATCTATGGACCCTGGTACTAGCGCTGGCGCATCAAGGTCTTCTGGAAAGCAGCATCGAAATCATAGACAACATCATCACCACAGACATCGTAGGTCTGCCGAAAGCAACGGCTTGGCAACCACGGGTCGAAAATACAACTCCAAACATCATAGGTCGAGTGGATCGACGACAACTAGTTCGGTCGCCGTTACTAACAGTCAAGACACTTCGTCCAAGACATTCTCAAGCTGTGATACATCACCGTCATCTGGTCATCAAAGCGAATGCAGTAGCACTAGCAGCGCGAGTGGTGAAGCCTCGCAGGAGGTAGCGCTGGCCATTCGGGCGGCAGGAAGGATAAAATTCAAGTGAGTGTTTTACGATGCTATTCAAATCAGCAACGCCGTTTGATGGGAAAAAAGTTTGCCGAGGGATTTTTTTTTCATTTGTCACATAGGCCCTTTTCATAGGTTGCTCTAGATTAAAGTCAGTTTTTTTAAATGCTGCATGCTGGGAAATAAGTTCATAGAAATTTAAAATAAAACAATAGATAAAGAGCTTGATCCGGAAGGAACTATCGCAGGGCACCCGATCGAAGCCTGACGAGAAGGAACAGGTAGTTTTCATCGTTTTCTGTCGTTTTAGTTCCTTCCCTAAGAAAAATAACCATAAAACAGAGCTTAACGACGTGTTCGGGGTATCATCCACACCATTTGTGGCATAGTTTATCCATCTGGGATACGGTTCGTTTATGGTATTTGTTTATTAGGCTTTGCATGTGGTTTTTGCTTCTAGATTCTAGTTCCACGTGGAAACTGCTGGATTGGATGGGAATAGTCACGGTCTTGTTTTATAAACGAAGAAAAATGGATTCAGGGCTGATTCAAACATATTGTATCACTATTTCAGCAAAACATATTTTTGAATAAAAAAATAGTTTTTAGAATCAACAAACAGATTATTGACTCTACAATCGGTTTGTTGATTCAAAAATATTTTTCTTTGAATAAACCGAATAATATATTAGAATCAATACCAAAAATATATTAGGCACAGAGCCAAAAATATATCCATTTGAATTTAAAAATCATTTCTCTGCGTTTATGGAGGCCAACCTGCTCGATTTAAATAAACCATAGTTTGGCGTAAAAATGCAGTTGTCCCCTACTACTGTCCCCGGAGTTACTTCAGTGATCCATTTAAAGTCTTTAAAAATGCTACTGATGAAAAACCATGAAGAAAGAGGTGTCACACGGCATGTTTTTTGTAAAAATGAATTTATCCCCTACTACAGATTCCCCCGCGGACGCTTCGGTGCTTCCGGAAGTGGTCAATGTTGTCAATTTAGTTAGTAATTAACGATCCTGTGCACCTCCAGGGGTGCAGATGGCCTTTGTGAAAGATGTCCATCCTGGGCGATTACTAGCTTTAACCTTGACCTGTGCCCAAGTCAAATTTCGGTCAACGTTCTTAATGTCACTGTTTAGGCTTCGCCGCCACGAGCCTCTGGGTCTGCCTCTGCTGCGATGTCTTGCTGGATTCCAGTCCAGTGCTTGCTTGCAGATTTCGTTTCCGCTCCGTCGTAGTGTGTGGCCGACCCACCTCCACTTCCGCTCACGAATTTCTGTCTCTATCGGCTTCTGATGGCACAAACAATGAAGCTCGGAAGTTGAGATCCAATTGTGGGGCCACCTGGCACAATTATGTACCACAGGCATCGGTTGATAAACACCTGCACCATGTTTCACTGGCGTATGACAGCACATACTTCACGTTCGAGTAAAAAATTCGGATTTTGGTGCGTCGACTGATCTGATTCGCTCTCCATACATTTCGCAAACTGGCAAAAGCAGCCCTCGCCTTCTTAATCCGTGCACCTATGTCGCTCTTGGTGCCGCCGCCCGACGCTATCTGGCTGCTAAAATATTGGAAGCTTTCGACTTTCTCCACTGCCTGCCCAGCTACCGTGAAATTGGAACGGTTTTCCGTGTTGACATCCAACGATTTGGTCTTGTTGACGTTGATGGTTAGACCTGCTTCAGAGGAGTGTTCCACAAGGTCGTCGAGCTTACTCTGCATGTCAGAGCACAGTTGTGCTAATAACGCAACATTATCAGCCAAATCGAAGTCGTTGAGATGCTCCATAGTAATAGGCTGTAACAGCAACCATGCTTGGCATACACAGTTTTGGTCACGAACTGCTCATTTGCTAGTAACTTTGCACACAGTTAACGGAACTTAGTTCTTTTTGAAGCAGTAGATAGAATAGTGTGTAAGCTTGTTATAGATATGTAAAAAAATGTAGATTTTAATTCTAGTAGTAAACTGTATTTGTTTTTGCGTTGTAAAAATGAGGTGAGAAATGCTCACTACACATCTCGGAATTGAAGTGTTAAATTGGTTAGTGTTGATTTAAATGTAAAGCTTTACCAAATCTTCGCATATCTATAGTAAACTAAAGCCTAATCTATAAATTGCTTTAGGGAAAAATAAGTTTCAGCATCTGAGTGAGAAGTTATTACCAAATGAGCAGTTGGTGTGTACAACTGTGCATGCCAAGCATCACAGCAACCCACGGTTCGGTACACGGTCAACGGCTCCAACCATGAACTCGTCGATTACGATGAGGAACAGTAGCGGTGATAACATACATCCTTGCCTCACACCCGCGATTACCCGAATCGGGTCAGACAAAGCTCCGTTGTGCAACTGCATGAGAAAGCCTCGTACTGCGCTTCGATGAGGTTGACGATTTTATCCGGGACTCCCTTGCGTCTCAGAGCGCCCCACAAGTTTTCGTGGTTTAGTCGGTCGAAAGTTTTTTCGTAGTCAATGAATACCAAGTACAGGGACTCTTGGAACTCATTGACCTGCTCCAAGATGATGCGGAGCGTGACAATATGGTTCACACAGGATCTTCCAGCACGGAATCCTGCCTGCTGTCGTCGGAGAGTCGCGTCGATCTTCTCCGATTGAGGATAACTTTACACAGAACTTTGAGAACAATACACAGTAACATGATGCCTTGCCAGTTGTCGCATACAATTGGTTCCCCCTTCTTTTCGACTTTTACCAAGACCCCCCGCATCCAGTCGGCCGGAAAAGTCGCGGTGTCCCACATATTGACAAATAGTTGATGCAACATTTGTGAGGATAGCATGGGGTCAGTTTTGAGCATCTCTGCTGATATGCGGTCAACCCCCGGAGCTTTTTTGGACTTCATTCTTCGGATGGCTGCTTCTATCTCCTGCAATGATGGAGCTTCAGTGTTGACGCGAGTAACGCGCTTCACCCTTGGCGGATCATGCCGAGATGTTGATGGTTGGTTGACCGTTGAAACGTCGAGAAGTTGTTCAATGTGCTCCCAGGTGAGCAACTGTCCAGTCGCGTCTTTCACAGGCATCCTTGGGTTCATCCTTGCCCCGCTCAGGCGTCGTGAAATATCATAGAGGAGGCAGATATCGCCAGTTGCTGCGGCTTTCTCCCCTTCATCAGCCAGGGAGTCCACCCAAGCGCGCTTTCCCGTATACAGGAACGCATAACTTCCCTCTCTAGAGCCGAATACAGCTGACGGGCCTCGTTCTTGGCTCCTCGGATCCTTGCTCGCTATATCGCGGCTTTTGCTTCTCTCCGCTCCTCGATCTTCCTCCAGGTTTCATCGGTGATCGACTCCTTCCTCTGAGTGCGCAGCTAACCCAGGTTGTTCTCGCTTGTTTCAATAAAGGCATTATTGATGCTCGTCCATTGTTTTTCTACGCTGCCACCTTCCGGAATATTAGCTAGGCGAGCCTCGAGTTCTTCGACGAACGATCTCTTCACTGCTGGGTCTTCCAGTCGGCGTGTGTTGAATCGCCGCCCGACCCGAGCAAAGATAGAAATCAAATTGAAATCAGAATTTGCTGTTATGATGTAACTTATTTTGAATACTCCATTTGATCTCATTTTGGTTGACTTAACGGTTAACACAGCAAAAATGAGAGCAAAATTTTACACTGTTGAATCAAACGGAAAACTAATCCTGCTTTCAATTAAATCAATTTGATTACTGATTTTGAATTCATAATGTTTGACTTAATACGGGCCTGTCGTGCCTGCTTCTCACGCTGAAAGATTTGAGCTCAAATGTCACCTCGGGCTAGTCACGAATGACCTAAAATGTGTTAAACAAAACAAATAAACAATATTCGTTAGTTCAACGACAGATGAACTTAAATCAAATTTTAAACAAGAAATTAACAGCAGAACTTCAAGTTAAGTTGCTTTGATTTAAAAAGTCTTGACTGCATAATGAAAGCAGAATATGATATCAGACTTCTGTCGCGACAATTGAAATCAAAATGAGTTTTCATTATGATAGGAACTGCAAACTTTAATATCGATTTGCTTTCATTTTGTTAACCGACTTTGCTCGGGGAGTCTATTATCCCGCTGTTGAACCCGCGCAATGCGTAGGCGGATCTCACCGACCAGGAGATGATGGTCGGACGCGATGTCAGCGCTGCGTTTATTCCGAGTATCAAGAAGGATCCGTCTCCATTTTCGGCTGATGCAGATGTGGTCGATTTGGTTATCTGTATATCCATCACGGGAGACCCATGTGACTTTATGCACAATCACCATGTCGTTCTTGCCACAAAACTCTGCAAGCAGCTCGCCGTTCTCGCTCATATCTCCGAGACCATGGCGTCCTATAATGCGCTCATAGTCCGAGTTGTCGGAGCCGATCTTCGCATTGAAGTTGCCTGTGTAGATATTGATATCACCTCTCGGAGTCTTATCCACGACAGCATTCAGTTGACTGTAAAAGTTCTCTTTGTCCTGCAATTCGGCTGCATCGGTGTTGTCAATGATCCATTTAAAGTCTAAAAGAGCCTATTGGTAAAAAACCATGAAGAAAGAGGTGTAGCACGGCATGTTTTGAGTGAATAAATGAACTGACCGCACTTAGAACCCTCCGTCAGGACCGATTCTAGGAAAATAGCCATATCTCGGTTCATTCTGGGTCAATTTTAGCTCTTGGTTCTTTTTTGGCGTATCAACAAAAACATAGATTAGTAACGGACACCCTGAGAAAAACTCATCACAAATTTTGCAATTTAGACATGCCCTCCGGAAACCCGGAATATCTCCGGTATCCGGTAACCATGGTCACTTCCATTGCCACACCATGAAACTTAATTAGCTTTACAGTCGAATACTTTTGGAAAAATAATATTCGCTGTATATACATATGCTTTCAACAAACAAACGCTGCAAATCTTCCAGTGATTCCTCTGAGAATCCTAAATCTGCTAGCAGTTGATCACACAGATTTGTCATCTTCAAAACACTACCAGGAACACCACTGATTTTTTCACAAGTTCAAATC